ATATATACCTAAAATCTTACTGCTACGCTGGAAACCTATTCATATCGTTTACCTACCTTTCTTAATATTTTGCTGCGCAGTTTCTATGCATTTCCTGTTTAGTCGAAATAGATTGTTATCTCATGCACATATTTTCATTTATTTCAGTGATACTTCAAGTCACATTTCATTCAGTGCGTGAGGACGAACAAGCTATTGACGATCAACGCTCTCTAAATTTACACACTGTTCACTATTTTGTCAAACATTTGCAGTTATGCCTCCCAAACGACAATCGATTGGCCCATCTACACCTAGAACACGCAAGAGAAGGGCCTTAAATGCTTCAGAAACAGACGAGCAACATGAAGTATGACTGGAAACCGTTCGAGTGCGCACTGCTGAAGCCCGTTCGTCTCAGTCAGACCAGCAACAGTAAGCAATATTAGAAAACATTCGAGTGCACACTGCTGAAGCCAGATCGTCTCAGTCAGACGACCAACGAGAAGCAAGATTGGAAACCAATAGAGTACGCACTGCTCAAGTCCGTTTATCAGAAACCATCAAGCAACGGAAAGCAAGACTGGACACCATTCGAATGCGCACTCTTCTATCCAGACGAACATTGTATGTTGATTTGAATCTTGGTGCATTCCATTACAGCAGCAGTTATGATTACAGTCTTCATCCACAGGTGCTTTTTGACAAAATGGATAAATTGTGCGTACATTGCAGTGCCTTGAAATTTAAGAATGATACGCTGTGAATGTGCTGCGCAGATGGAAAAGTTTAATTGACAGTATTAAATTCGCCACACGAACCATTATCATCAGTGGTAGCAGGTGACACAAGCCAGTCCAAACATTCGCAAATACAATTCATGTTTCCAAATGACATAATTCGGCGCAACAAATATTGTGCGCGAGCATTGCATGCCAACATTAAAAGTGCAAGGCCAGATTTATCATCGTGCTGGCTCACTATGGGAAACACTGATCAACAAATTGATCAACGTTGTCGATTCAATAAGGGGACACAACGAGAAATAGTCGCTGCTTTACAAATTTTTTTTCGATCAACACAACAAATTAATTAGATTGTTCAGAACTGCTCTTCAACAAATACCAGCTGATGACTACAGAGTTGTACTTAGAGCTGACAAAACACATGTCGGCCATTACGAAAGACAGTACAATGCACCAACAATTGATGAAAGTGGCAATTGTTATGGTTGGCAAAGACTTTAACTTGCATGATATAATTTTTCATCGCAGAAATGGTGATCTTCAGCGAGTCTCAGAAACTCATCACTCATACGACGGATTGCAACATCCAGTTTTATTTTGGCAAGGAGAAGATGGATATCATTTCAACATCGAATTCAGAAATCCACAGACACATAAGGAGATGAATAAGAAAGTCAGTGACATGAATTATTATTCAAATCGATTGATTGTTCCACCAATGCATTGTCGATATGTATGCAAAAATTGAAACCGAGCGACTCCTCTATATTCGATTAAATTAAACTAAGTTTGAATTAGGCTGTGTTGTTTACCCTAGCATTCATTTGGTAATTATGGTGAATGTTTCTTGTTTTCGTTACTTTTCACCTGGTTATTTTGTCTCCCAACTACTTCGAGGAGGAAAAGAGTAGTCGTGTGGGGGGGGGGGGGGGGGGGGTGTTGTAACATTAACTGTTAACTGAGAGAGCTTTAAGTCACAGTCACTGTCTTATCTACTCAAAGTAGCAGAAGTTGTGGTTGGGCGGTTACATGGCAGTGCTCTCTGATGCGGAGACCGCCGGTAAGGTGATGACGTTTTTCTGCCGGGGAGCGAAATTACTCTTTCTTAACTGACCAGTCGGTGGCGATAAAACTAGCCATGCGGCGCCAAATCTTCTGGCTCATGACTGCCTGTGTACTCCGATGGTAAAACAGATAGCAGTGAGATTATTTTAGTTATTGTAGTGGTGGTAGTAGTTGTACTGGTACTTGAAAGATGTTGTGGTAAATATTACACTAGCCAAAATTATTACTCATTACAATTCCTGCTCTCCATTTAAGTCCGGATGGACAGGGATATCTAGGTCAGTTACAAAAATTATCGTCAGGTGATGACACTCAAATCCTTTGAAGAGGAAGAGAGCAGTAGTCGGTGGATTCGGGAGGGGACGGGGTGATGACTGAAATTGTTAAAGAGTTTAACACATGAGTTTAAAAATTTCATTTCCTAATTTGTTTACATTTTACTAACGCTACCTCCGTTATTCTCATTTTTTTTTAACGACTTACTTGGTTTTTTACAAGTATAGTAGGCTGCGTTACTTCCGTCTCTTTAAAAAAAATACAAACAGCTTTAGCACGTGATAACGGAATAACAACTTTTTTAAAACTGTTGTAATAATACAACTTAAACGACGACTAATATAAATACCCAAATATATGTTGCGTGTTCTAAAGTCGGTAAACCAGACTATTTCTATATCTGTGCAGACAATGATTGCGACATTTATATTAGAAACATGCGATTTCTATTGTCTTTCTTTTCCAAGAACCTCTGATGAGGGAGAGAGTAGAAGTTAGATTTTTTTCTGGGGGGGGGGGGGGGGAGGGGGTGGGGGGCTTCGGAGACTATCTCTGTATCTAGGCAGACAATGATTGCGACAGTAATAATATTAGACACGTGCCATTTCTATTTCCTTTCTTTTCAATTTAGCCAAACTATGCCACAGCAACTCGTGGCCGGGTACAGCTAGTATGACATAAAAAAAAGATATTAGAATATGATTAACCAAAAAGAACATACAAATTACAATATGAATGCTGAAAGTGAATACAAGCATGGTTGGTGACAATCATGGCAGACATTACTAAAAGTACAGATACTGAAACCAAGTTATAATCCTTAACATAATGTACCAATATTCCTTTTAAGAATAAGTGCAGAAAAATAAGAAGTGAACACATACATTATTATATGACTGGTGGAAGTGAACACAGACATTATAATATGACTGGTGGAAGTCAACACATAAATTGTAATATGACTGGTGGGAGTAAATACAGACATTCAGATATGACTGGTCAAAGGGAATACAGACATTATAATATGACTGGTGGAAGTAAACACAGACACTATAATATGACTGGTGGAAGTAAACACAGACATTATAAAATGACCGGTGAACGTCAACACAGACATTATAATATGACTGTTGGAAGTAAACACAGACATTATAATATGACCGGTGAACGTCAACACAGACATTATAATATGACTGGTAGCAGTAAACACAGACATTATAATATGACCGGTGAACGTCAACACAGACATTATAATATGACCGGTGAACGTCAACACAGACATTATAATATGACTGGTGGAAGTAAACACAGACATTATAATATGACCGGTGAACGTCAACAACAGACATTATAATATGACTGGTGGAAGTAAACACAGACATTATAATATGACCGGTGAACGTCAACACAGACATTATAATATGACTGGTAGAAGTAAACACAGACATTATAATATGAACGGTGAACGTCAACACAGACATTATAATATGATTGGTGGAAGTAAACACAGACATTATAATATGATTGGTGGAAGTAAACACAGACATTATAATATGACTGGTGGAAGTGAACTCAGACATTATAATGTGACTGGTGGAAGTAAACACAGATATTATAATATGACTGGTGGAAGTGAACGCAGACATTAAAATATATTTCTTGAAGTCTTCTTCTTCTTCTTCTTCTTCTTCTTCTTCTTCTTCTTCTTCTTCTTCTTCTTCTTCTTCTTCTTCTTCTTCTTCTTCTTCTTCTTCTTCTTCTTCTTTTTCTTTTTCCTCGTGTACCAGTGTTATAAACGGACTCATTTGTGTGTAGACTCTTGGTTCCTCTCAGGCAGTAGTACTTCAGCTTTAAAGGAAGCTTACAATTGGCCGACTCTTATGACATGTTTTGTGTGTGTGTGTGTAAGCAGTGGGTCTATTCTAGCTTTCCCTGCAATGTGGATTTTTGAAAGTAAACAGTTTTGCTGAAAGTGAACATGGACATTAGACAATGAATGGTGTTAGCAAACACAGACATTTTGCTATGATTGCTGGAGGTAAACACAAACAGTAAAATATATTATAAAATCATGTTGTTTACGTCTGTAAATAAAACATGTCTAGCTTTTCTACAACTATAAAAGACATTTTAAACGTTTCTTTCCTATTAATACGAGTATTTGCCTACATCTGAAGATAACAGATGTATTATCTTGTACTGATTGCATGTTCTAAGACTATATCATATCAACTGCCTTTGCATTCTGTATTCAGCGAGAAAGTGGTTGGTCTTTGAGCCTGAAAATTGTTGTTGTTGTTGTTATCGATCCAGGGTGCATGAGCTTTCTTTCGCCCTCTGGCTCAATGCCATGTTTTCACAAGCTGTTCTTTTCCTCTGTACAAGGTGTTCCACTTTTCTAGTCATAGGAGGAGTCCCAATCTAGTTTTTGCAGAAAAATCCTTAACTTTACCGAGGATTCTAACCAAGGTCTACCTTAAGAGAGCCCTGAATTCTTAACCAATTGGAGGGGGGGGGGGGGGGGATTTATTACACCCTAAAGAAGGAACAAATATTATTGTTGTGTGGCTCTAATCGGTTTTGTCTTTATGGTGAAATTATATTTGTTCGTGCGAAGCTTTTTTCTTGCTTTAAAAATTTGTTTTATTCTGTCACTGATAAAATACTTCAGGTAACAAAAATGTGTTTCTTGTCTCTGAATATTTTCCCCATATAATTTTCTAGTTGCTTATTTGGTGTTCAGTCATTCTTCATGTCAGCTCGCCAGAAATCAGTCTCTATTTCAGAAATATAAAATTAACAGAGTCTGACAGTTAGACTGACAATGACACAGCCTGACAATGAGAATTAAAAACAATAAACAAACCGACAAGCAAACGGAAGAACATGATCTATGCAAGTGCACATAATAGACAAACAAACAACGATACTTACATCCAGTGTGTACACCTGACATGTCAGTTCATCCAGAAGATTAACGTTTGATACAATGAGATTAACAGAGTCACAGTACTTTTCATGTGCATAACACATAGCTCCACTATAAAATGGGAGAGAAAAGCGCAATGCAGATCATTAACACAGAACTATCATTATATGAAAATATGTATGATTTCTGAAAATCTGATATACTATATCATATATACAGTATATGCAACTGCTCACGGAGCAGATTTACTCCGAAAGTGTCAGACTAAACAAGCCAAGGATGCTATGTCCTCTCACTCACAGTCCCACAGATTCAAGGGCTGTTAAGTCAGATACCTAAACTAAACAGATTAAGAATTAAAAAAAAAGAGGATGTATGTACAAGCTGCAAACACTGAGATGTGCAAACTATAGAGCCATGGTTCTAACTTGACCAGTGCTTAGGGGACAATCTTAGAATGATGAACACTACTAATATGTGGGTTCAGAAGTTAACTGCAAACCACCATATTAACTGACTGACTTTCTACCCCACCAAGACATCACACAAGCGACAAATACCCGATGACACAATGTGCCACCATGTGGGTGAGGATCACCGTGGAGAGGTCCCAGAAACCGCGTTCAGCCTTTAGGCCATATTTATGGCCAGGCTATATTGCGGCCCCTGGCAAGAACCAGAGTAGGGCTTCAAATAACGAATAATTTCATCCTAATAAGGATGAGAAATTTGACCACCATATTAACTGATCAAAAAAGATATTGAGAGCAGTGACAAGAAGCAGACTTATACTGTGTGGCAGGCCAAAGCACATTTTGTGTGTCAATTCTGTTTATGTTTTGGCTTGACTACGGTCAGAATTTTATCATTAATTATATTATGTGTCTATATTTTTATCATTGTAGCACGTTGCTACACAACAGTTAATAGTCCAAGCTAATTTCAAAAATACAGTGTATTCAAACATTTTATTTAATAAATCCATGACACCAGAGTTTTAAAAAGACAGTTTTCACATGCCAGATAAATCCAGACTTAACATATGACTGTGAATAGATCTATTCTTAGAAAATGACTGTGAATCCTGGACAATTAAGAAATAAGTCAAACAATATCTTGAGGCCTCAGAGACGCGGTTTTACCGAAAAATCCTTATAATTCATTGGACAGGCAAAAAAAAGCAACCAGATGTTTTGAAAAAGGTGACGGCTCGGATTACTTGTCACAAACATCAAAAAGAGACAGTCCACATTTGTGTTGTAGGTCATGTTATGAGAAGAAGGAAACCGGGGCATGTTATGACCACTAGAAAAATCTGTGGACAATGAGACAGGGAAAGGCAACACAATAGGGTTCTTGATAGCATTCTGGCATGGCATGTCAGCACATGAACTGATAAATGCTGCTGAAGATCACAGATTGTTGAGAGGCATGACTGCCCATGCCAACTGGCAAGGCATTTCTTGAATATTCTGATAATGTACTAAAGAATGTAAAATCTTTAACTGAAACAAAGCAGCACGACAGCTCTGGCAGGAACTAGATAATTGTTGCAGTTTCTAAAAGTTATCTTCTCTTAGATGTCCAAATTCTCCAGCACTAACTAAAAGGTTATAATTAAGGTGTCAATAATTTAAAAAGTATTTTTAAACTACACTAAAGAAAAATAATACACGGTGCTTTAAATGGCTTTTGGTGTTACAGAACTGAAAGTGTCACTGAATAGAGTAGCTAATGGCTAGGTGACAATAGTGGCCATGTTTTGTTTAAATTTTTTTTTTATTATCAAGAAATAGATTTAGATTATTTTTTTTATTATCAAGAAATAGATTTAGGTTCTATAATCTAGCATGATAATATATTTTTGTACATGAAAGTGAATACATAAACTTATATGTACACATGATTGACATTCAATAGTTATTAGGTTTATCATCTTAAAAGTCAGCCTTCGACAAAGTTATATCTTCCTAGCCTGCACACTGTGTGGTGATTGATTGCAGTTGTGGTCTTAAACCTCAGTCACTAGATCAGAGGTCTGAAACCTTAGCCTTCAGTAAAATGAATAGCTGACATATTTAGTGATCACATGACCCTTAAGAGGTAAATGGCTAGTTTAATGCTGGCTTCCTGAACATTTCCAGTAGGATCAACTTCAGAGTTACCAGGATGATTCATGTGCTGAACGTTTCAAAATCAAGTAGTCCCATGGCAGATCTGTGGTCCGGGTATGCTGTTTTGGGCCTGCACGCATTCTAAGTCACAACATGTGAGGTAGAGGGGTCAGCACTATTAATTACCGTCTTTCCTCTGTAGAAGATTCTGGAAATTACCTGGTACTCATTTTTATTAGGCAAGGTCAACCCCAGCGCCCTACTTGTCTGGAAAAAGTCCTGCCATTTCTGGGGTTGAACATGTGCCACTGTCTCATAAGGCAATCACACTATCAATTAGAATATGTCAACAAGACCTTTTGTTTATTGTCTTTAGCAAGAAAACATGGTGAGTATGACATCATTAGTCTACATGAAACAGAATTAACCGGAGAGTTTATCCCAAGGCGAATGCAAACCTAGCATTTTTCACCTTTGGCTGTGTGTTAACATAGTTCATTATGGAAGCAAGGAATAGGAACAATGTGACTGTCGCATGACAGCATCCACACATCTGCCACAGCAGGAAGGTCCATATAGCTGACCACCCTAAACTCGTCATCGTAACTATGTAATAGAATAGGCCAAGCATAGTTAGATAGTTCGTTTGTTGTGGGGGAGTCCTGATAGGAAAAATCCATATAAAACCCTTTGATAATAACTCTTTGAGGCTTTGAGTGACTAATTACATGTTAGGACACATGTTCTACGCCTATTCTAAATAAATTGTCTGACCACTGCACTGTATTAGTGAGAGCAATTCGTACGCTAACTGCTGTTGTTAGGGGACGTATTTGTGTGCGTCACTTCTCTACAGTCCGGTCTTGAAGGCAGGCGTTTTTCCTTGTGTCTCGCCATTTGACCGTTATACAGACAAGATTCATTATTCTCTTTTTTTATTTACAATGGGTGAGTTGTCTTAGGGACTTTTTAATGGAATAGTTGTGTTCATAGTGTCTGTGATGTAGGTAGGTAAGGTCAGCAGCCGGATAATGCGAATCTGTTTTCCTACGATTCTTGCTAAGGAAGGTGGCGAAAGGAGCTCCAGATCGGAATGCACTTTCGGTTGACATTTCTCGCAGAATGCTTTGAAATGGCCTTTTAAACCTTTTCAATTCAATCAATCTACATATCTGGAGTGGGTTTGTAGTATTGATAACTTTGTATTGGTAATTATTTGCTAGTATTCGGTATCAGAACTTGGTAAGTCTCTGAACGGTTTTGAACGACAAGAAGCTTATGGGCAGACATGACGTCATGTCCGCTGTTGCTAGGTGATTTCGTAACCACAACAAGCTTCGACTGTCGTATTGTTTTCATAACATATTTCAGTAGGTCTGGGTTTTGACTTCATCGCAGATCCCTTATTTTTCTACGTTTAGAGGGGAAGGGTAAATAATGGAGATCTGTCTAACCTTTGCTACGGAACTGTTCCAGGAATTATTCGAGTTAATGATCTGGTGCTCACTCTAGGAAACTAAATGGATTCTAAGATAGAGGTGACCAACTTTCATGGTTGGGAATAACCTCAAGTTTATCTGAGCATGAGGGGATGGTAAGGATGTTGATTGACCAGGTGCATTAGATACGGTTCGCTCATGGGTGTTGCTTTGTGTTTTTCAGGTTATGAAGATCCAACAAGTGTCAGTGTCTTGTAGACTGGTTCCTTCTGCCACTACACATTAAGCAATTTACATGTGGTGAATTGTGGTCCTGAACGTGTGGACGATACTTGAGTCGTCGTCTTCCGAGCTCAAGGTGATTGTTCTCGATCAACGCCAGAAACTGTTCCTGCTGGGGAAATAATGTTGGGAAGTCTGGCGACGTGAAGATCTATTCCGGCATCCAGAGAAGCAGCCTCGTTTCTGAGAAGTCCTATCGTAAAGTACGGTAGTCGGAAACTTCGCTCCAGCATCCAGAGGAGATATAAGATCTAAACAGATAAGTCAGAGTGACCCGTATGACGGCTTTAATCTAAGTGGACCTTTCCAATCCATCAGATTCCTCAGCCATGATGATACTGGACAGAAACGTAGAGTAGGAGGAAGACACTCGCACTAACTTTGTTCTTGAAAGTATTCAATATTCTTTCAGTTAATTCTTCAAGTTATTTTTTCTTCAGCTTGGTTACAGGGAACCTATTACATTGATTCTCGAGTTCATCTGCCTTCTAGTTCTTAGGAGAGTTTTGTCTAATTGGAGTTCCTTGTGGCATTTATAAACGTAGTCTTGTCTTATCGTATTCACTGTTGATTATTTGTTCGACTGGATTTACATTAATCCAGTCTGGGGGCAAACAGTGGTGAGGACGTCTGGCCGAGAGGTACCCAAGTGTTCATAATAACCCTGTGGAGTCAGAGCTCGTGTCACCTCATCCCTGAGACAGGTTGAATGGAAAGTTTGAACCGAGGGTTAGGCCTCTAGACGAACGAGAGCCACCATTCAAAACACTCCTGTCTCAGAGCACCTGAGGGATTTGTGAAAATATCCTGTAAGTAAGGTGCGCGACAAAACTGCCATACGACAGTCACCTACTATGCTAGTCATAGGTGGTAGGTAGTAAAGTGAGCTGTCTTCTGTCATCTACAGTGCAAGGACAACTTATAAAGAAAGGAATTAATACAATAGTTGTGTGTTATGTGAGTGACAGAAAGAATTCCACAGTGAGGAAGGGGTTTTACGCTGTTTAGTGTTTATGATTCGTCAGGAACTCAAAGAACATAGATAAAGTTTACAACATTACCACAATTTGTTTCATTAATAATTTTTTCATGCCATTCTTACCTGTTAGTCCAGCTGATCTGAGGTCCCTTGCCCACCTCAATATGGCAGGCGTCCCCTTCCCATCCGTTGTTGCAAATGCATTTTCCAGCTGTCTCACAAGAACCGTGTTGTTGACACTCGAGTGGACAAAAAAAGTCCATGAAAATTGGTTTCAAAACAAGAACACCATCTTGTTCATGGTAGCTGTTGTTGTCTTTAAGCATGGCTTCCTGGCAGTGTGTCATGAATGATGACTTGATGGCATCCATGGTCTCGGTGGTTTCTCCCATCTGCACATTCCAAGAATACAACAATGGTTATAAAAGGAGACTAAAATGGGCATATATTCAAACAACAGTCTCTATACAAGGATACAACTGTGGGTTCATTATTTTTACAACAATTGCTATACAAGGGTACAAAAATTAATATACAAGACACAACTAGTGCATAACTACACAACTATGAATATGCAAGAATACAATAGATATACAAGAAAACAAATGGATATACAAGAACGATAACAATATTTACACAGAAATGTAACTTCTTTCTTTTTCTTCTGCCTTTCTATCCCCCAATGGAGCATAGGCCCTCAACCAACTCACGCCAAGTCGTTCTATCCTTCGCCATTGCATGGAGCTCTCCCCATGTCCTCCCAATCTTTCTAACCTCGTTCTCCAGCTCTCTTCTCCATGTGTTTTTTGGCCTTCCTTTATTCCTATGCTCATGTGGGTTTCAATGCAAAGACATTCTAGTAATGCTGTTTTCCTGTTTTCTCAGTGTGTGCCCTATCCAACGCCAGCGTCTTTTCCTCACTTCCTGATCCACTGGAGCCTGTTTAGTTCTCTCCTAAAGTTCTACATTAGTTATTCTATCATACCATTTTATTCCCTCTATTCAGCGCAGGCACCAGTTAATGAATGTCTGTAATTTATTAGTAATTGCCTTGGTTGTTCTCCATGTTTCCGCCCCATACAATAGTACTGATTTGACATTAGAATTAAAAATTTTTAGTTTAGTATTTCTTTTAATTTCTTTTGACCTCCACAAATTCCCTAGTGCTATGAAAGCCCCTCTTGCCTTTTGTATTCTTATTTTAATATCTCTATCAGTTCCTCCATCTTTATCTACATTACTGCCTAAATAGGTGTACGACTCCACGTCTTGGAGTGGGGTGCCATTGAGAGAAACCACATTACTATATGCCTGATTTATTCTCATTATCTTTGTCTTTCCTTTATGGATTTTCAGACCAAGCTGCTTTGATCTCGCATTAAGTATATTTAATTTATCTTGCATCTGATTCCGTGAATGGGACAGAAGAGCAATATCATCAGCGAAGTCCAGATCATCAAGCTGTTTTGTAGGGGTCCACTGAATTCCATTCTTGGTGTTAGCAGTTACTGTTTTCATAGTCCAGTCTATAGCCAGTAAAAATAAGAGAGGCGACAAAAGACAACCCTGTCGCACACCTGTTTTTTTTTCAAATGCATCTGTTAGCTTTCCCTCATGAAGAACTCGACATTTCATGTCTTTATATGTTGCCTTTACTAAGTTGATAATTTTCTGTGGGATTCCATAGTGCCACATCAATTTCCAGAGAGATTCCCTATCTATGCTGTCAAATGCTTTTTCATAGTCTATAAATCCAATGTGTAGCAATTCTGTTGATGTCTTTATGTTGGTCCTGATTGCTTCAGCTGGGATACCGTCTGGGCCTGTCGCCTTTCCTTCCTTGAGAAGATTTATAGCTTTTCTAATTTCCTCTTTGGATGGTATCTCACAGTTGATATCCAGTTCCATTTCTAAAGGCTGGATATCTGGGGGAACCTCTGGGCCTGGTCTATTTAGATGCATTTCAAAATATTCAACCCATCTGTCCATTTGACCTTTAGTGTTAGTAAGTACCTTTCCTTGACTTTTTTTTATTGATCTAGTTGGCTGACTATATTTACCTACTAATTTTCTTGTGTTACTGTAAAGTTCTCTGAGGTTTCCTTTTGCTGCTGCTGTCTCTGCTTCTTGTGCTAGATCATTTAGATATTTCACTTTATCTGCCCTTATATGCCTCCTAACTTCCTTGTTGGCTTCTGTGTATTTCTCCTGAGTTCTAGCTTTAGCAGCTCTAGTTTTGCTATTGTTTAATTCTGCCTTTCTACTTTTCCTATCTTCAATCAGTTTAATGGTTTCTGGTGTTATCCATGCTTTATGTTTCCATAACACAACTAATCAAATTGACCACATATGTATTAACAAAAAGTTTGGATCATCCCTTTACGATGTTAGGGCTTTCAGAGGTGCCGATGTATTTACTGACCATTTCCTGGTGGTAAGTAAAATCAAGTTGAAACTAAAAAGATATATAACATCTTATAATCATAGAAACCAATATAATGTAGGCTTTCTCAGAGATAAAGAAATTAAGGAACAGTTCTCAGTTACGGTCTCTAATAAGTACCAGGTGTTGCAGCAGTTAGCTGAAGATGTCAACACAAAAGTCTGCTGGGATCAGATCAAAGGAATCTGGAATGAATCTTGCGTAGAAGTTCTTGGCAAGAAAGAAATGTAACTGCATACTCAAAAAGCAGCAATGGATCGACAAAAACATAATAATGGAAATACAAGCAAAATAATATATTACAAGAAAGTATGTAACCTGGGGTAAGAGCCGGTCCTACTATTAGGCGCATCCACCAGGTGGTGGATGCTGGAAAGGCCTCTAGATATAGAAGTTAGCCACGAATATACTAAATAAGTGGCCGGGGACCAAAACAGGTGGTGGTCCTTCAGAGGAGGCGTGTTAGCTGGTCGGACAGTAACTCTATAAAATACCTCCAAACTCCATGATATGGCCATCTCGGCTAAGAGACGTCATAATCTCCCCCCCCCCCCTCCCTTTTTTTCCACTGCCTTGCAGGGTAAGTTTCTTTAGACAAAAGCTACCGGAGTCGAACCACTCGCAAACCGGCGCGGAAGACAAGGGCGAATTCAGATAACGACGTGAATGGGAATTCGAGTGAAATCACCTCGTCCTAGGAAGCATTATGTTCTAAGGGTGATAACCGACCGTCATCCGGCTAGTGTAGAGAAAGAAAAATGGTAGCAACATCCTGAACATTGTCATATGGAATGTCAGAACAATCGTACAAAACTGAAAGTTGCATAACAGACTGCTTTAGTGACCATGTTCCAGTTATAGGAAATATTAGAATAAAACTAAATAATATTGAAAAAACACCACAGAACATCAAGTTAAATTTAGGAATACTTAGAACGGATGAAGAAATTAAGGAACAGTACAATGTCACTGTATAAAATTAGTATAATGCAATGGAAATTAGACAGACTTATTATACATGAACAATGGGAAATGTTGCATGAGTCAGCAGACATCAAAATTGATAATCCCACCAACCCTAAAAACAAAAAAAAATTGATGACAGTCGAAATTCTGCAGTTGATGGATAAAAAAAAAATGATAAAGAAGAATACCCTTGAATACAAACATAAATAGTGAACAAATGCAAAGTGGCTAGAGAAGACTGGCTGAATCAAATCGGTTCAGAGGTGTGTGGAAAACCACAGGAAATACTCAGATTCCATGTACCAACAGATAAATATGTTAACATGAAAGATGACACGTAACAGCACTGGATGTTTAAAATCAAAAGATGGCGAGATTAATAGGACATAGTAATATAATTAGGAGATGGACAGAGTACATAGGGGAGTTGTATGTTGATAATAGAAAGAATGTAGAACTGCTGGACAAAAATGAATGTCCACAAATACTGGCTGACGAAGTTGAAGATGCATTACTTTACACGAAGAAAGGACAAGCACCAGAAAGAAATCGAAGCACTGGGAGAGTTTGGAATTGAAATAATAATTAAACGTTTACATGATATTTATAATAGTGGGTACATACCAAATGACCGTTTTAAAATCCATATTTGCAGCTCTGCACTTTAAAATTTGAAAACCATTGCACAATAAGTCCTATAAGTCACATAACTTAGATGTTACTGAGAATATTTATAAGAAGAATAAGAAACAAAATTAAACCAGAAATCAGCGATAAACAATGTGGATTTGTAGAAGGAAAAGGTACAAACAATGCCATATATATACATCGTAAGGATATTGTCAGTAAGAGCTATTAAAGTATAGACTGATTTGTAGATATGCTTCATAGACTACAAAAAAAAAAAAAAAAAAAAGCATTTGATTATGTGGAACAAGCTGAAGTAATCAGACTATTTGAAAAATTAAACATTCATGGCAAAGATCTACGAATAATGAAGAATATGTATTGGCAGCAAACAGCAGCTATAAGAATTACAAACTGTTCAGGTACATTTCAGTGCATTAAGAGGGGCGTACGACAAGAATGTTATGCCTGAAATTGTGGTTGGTAGGCATAATATAAACAATTTACCTTATGCCGATGACACAGACTTGATAGCAACAAGTCAGAAAGAACTACAGAATATGATAGACATTGCGGTGTTAGAAAATGGAAGAATGGGACTTAGTTTGAATGATTGAAAGACAGAAGTAATGATGGTATGAAAGAAAAGAATTATTCCTAAATGTATAATAAAAGTCAATGGTGTTATCTTGGGACAAATACAGAAATTTAAGTGTCTGGGCACATGGATAACATCAGTTGGAAGATTCATCACCAAGATAAGAAACAGAATAGGACAGGCAAAAACTGCATTTTATTAAATGAAGAACAGCGTATGCAATTTATCTGTGTCACTGAAGGTTAGAAAAAGATTGTTCTCCAAAACAGCATATCACGGCAAAACGTTTGGCCAATAGAAACATATGTGTAAGTCAAACTTAACGGGTCGCTGAGTGAATTACGAAAGACAGTGAAGTTCATACTAGAGACAACATTGCAGGCATAGATAATCTATTTACATTGCAGGCATAGATAATTTATTTCAAGCGAGCGAAAGAAGAAGAAAAAGAAGAAGATTAAGAACAAGAATTCTTATTTGCTACATACATCCAGTTTTAACACATGGCTGTGAGTCATTGAGGCTTTAGAGATGTGGTTTTTCAGAAGAATGTTTAAAGTACTTTGGAAAGCAAAAAGAGCAACCAAGAGGTTTTAAAAGATACGGGAGCCCGAAGACAATTTATTACAAACATCAGAAGAAGACAGTCGTCATTTTTTGGGTCATGTTATAAGAACAGGGAAAATGGAACATGTTGTGACCACTGAAAAGATCTCTGGAAGGAGGGATAGAGGAAGACAGCGAGAGATGATTCTTCACAGTCTTGTTGCATGGCATGGAAGAGTGTCAGCACACAAGCTGATACATGCTGTAGGAGATCGCAGATTGTGGAGAGGCACGATCGCCCAAGCCAGTCAGCCATAGAGCATGATGATGATATAACTAAAGTTGTGATGAGTACTGGTAGCTTTTCAGACACTTTGAGTACCAGCACCTTTTTTTTTTCCTAGAAAAAATCCTTTCTCGCTGTCTGTGTGCTTGCGTGTGTGTGCGCGCGCGCGTGTATGCGTGTGTGTGTGTGTGCATGTGCTGTATACCACCACCTTGTTTCACTATCTGAAATCTCACATGCTTGCCCTAAACTTTGTATACCCTTACTTTGTTTCACTATATAAACCCTCACTCGCTTGCCTTCAACTTTTCTCTTCAGTATAGTAATTTAAGTGTGTTATTTTGTTTAATGTGGCTGTAGTATTTCACTTATCTGGTATTTATTTATTTCAACAATGCTCGTATCACTCCTAGTTTTATTCAGTATCTTTTATTTGAGTATTTTTGTTTCCAGGAAATAATCCTGTTCTTCTGTATATCCACATTGCCACCACTACATTGACTTCCGAACTGCTATTTTGTTGTCCAGGTTTCTGCCTCATATATGAGAAAACCCCGCAAGATATCATCACAAGCTAAAACCATGTTGCGAAGAAAGCATCACAAAGTGAAATGCTACTAAACAGGGTATACTAATATTCATCATCATCATCAGGTGTCTTGCCGACTGGCGTGGGCGATCATGCCTCTCCATAATCTGCGATCTCTTGCAGCATGTATCAGTTCGTTGGCCGACATACCTCCATGCCATGCAAGAAGACTGTCAAGAATCTTCTCTCTTTGTCTTCCTCTATCCCTCCTTCCACAGATCTTTCCAGTGGTCACAACATGCTATATTTTCCATCATCTCATAACATGGCCGAAAAATGATGACTGTCTCATTCTGATGTCTGTGATAAGTTGTTTTCGGGCTCCCACCTCTTTTAAAACCTCTTGGTTGCTCTTTTTGGCTCTCCAAGGTATTCTAAGCATTCTTCTGTAAAACCACATCACTGAGGCCTCTAAAAATTGTTTGGCCTGCCTACCGATTGTCCAGGATTCACATCCATATGTTAAAACTGGATGTATGTAGCAAGCAATAATTATTTTTCTAACTCTCAATGACAAGGATATATTGCACAAGATGTTTTCAATTTTTTAAAATGCAGTTTTTGCCTGTCCAATTCTATTTCTTATTTCAGTTATGCATCTTCCATCTGATGTTATCCATGTGCTTAGATATTTAAATTTATGTCTTCTTCTTCTTCACTTCCTCTTTTACCGCTGTGGGTGTCGAGGGAGATATAAGGTTCTGTTTCTAGCTCTTCTGGCTGCCTCGACCATAGGCACATCGTGCTGTTGTAGAGTGTCTCTGATGTTTGTCACATATCACTCCTGTCACGTGCCTAATGTAAGGATTTCTCCTTCAGAACCAACAGCACTCAGAAATAATTATGTTGAGTCGTTTGGCTCGTATTGGTCTAAGGGATTCCCTGTGGCCAATATACGCTCAACTTATCTCTGGAGTAGGGCAACTCAAGTCTTGGCACTATAAAATATATCAGTATATGAATACCATATTCCTAGGCACACTTGGCTGGACACCCCCACTACTTACTAAAGAAAGCCCCCAGGTTATGATAAGTCATTATCATAACCATGTTAACACATATAGTTAAGATTCATACACACACAAATGCTACACATTTAAAAAGGTGAAATAGAGAAACCTAAGTCAGCCATGAAAATGAATGCATGTAATCATTACAACATGTACAAAATAGAAAATGGTGAAGTAGATGTCAAAACACAACAGCTGGATTCCAGAATACAATGACTATAATCAACCAAAGTTAAACAGTCAGAAAGTCCTGGAGGAAGCATATATTTATCCTTGGAATCCAGTGGAGCTGTGGGGAATATAGCATAATCGAGACATAAACTTCACTTATCCCAGTTCCACTGTTGATGCCTCACTCAGCTCCGGGTGAATCGACTGTCTTTGACCCTGGTAATTCTGCTCAACTGGATCAGGTAATGGAAGAGTACCTCACCATAGAGGACGCAGCAACTGGATAGGCACACAGCCCCTTGATAGGCACACAGTAACTGGATAGGCACCCAGCAACTGGATAGGCACACCGCAACTGGATAAGCACACAGCACCTGCTCCCACGAGTAACTCACAGTACTGTCCCTGAGTTACACACATGTTCTGGCACTGGATGATGTTTGGGTTATATTGTACCCCATCTTGAGGAGGACAGTCTTCTCAATTGGTAGTTGGGTGATAATAAGTAGGTGATGGGTTAATTGATTGATGGGTTATGGGTTATGGTTGGTGGGTGTTGGTTGGACTGTGAATCTGCTGCCAGCTCCTCACAAAGGATTCATCCTGCCAAGAAATAACTCAGAATTAGTCATCACCAAGAGGGTAACATCTTGACAGGAAAGACAGATCAAGCATCAGTCATATCCCACATCTGCTTACTCCACCCTTGCTCTCCTGTTTCATTCCTCAAAATGCCTCTCTAGACCAGGAGACACAAGTCCCCTATATTCATCTGTCTGTTTAGTGCAAGAGAAGGCAAGTCAGATATACAGTGGAGATAGATAGAGTGTTCTACCACATATATCACTCTCTCTCCCCCTCCCCTCTGCACACAGACACCAATATTTACTGTCAGTACATTTATTTCTTATGCTTCCCAAAGCTAGTCCTACCATTCATTGATCTGGGTCAACACACTCGCACACTGGCCAACAAAGTCCTGACCTAATTCTGTCCCCATTTTGTATGCACAAACTTCTGTTGCCAGTTTAAATAGTACACACTTGTAAGGTTTTAGGTTTACCAGTATGAGTGGGTTATTTAAGGCATTGGCTATTTAGTCTGTACAGGGGAGGGTCTACGTTCGAATCCGCTTCTCTAGCGATCAAGAACGGTCGAACTATGTGTGATCCCACAGCCGCTACTGATCTATCTACAGCAGTAACCACTCTAACAGACATAGATTTAGGCACTCGTAAACTATAATTAACTTACCCAAGCATATGAAAAGTCCGAGACATTCCAGATCGCCCTATGAAAGTGAAATTATACAGGCATAGATTGACACGTCTGGACGCTTGGAGCCGGCAAGAGAGAATGGCGCAAATTAAGCACTTCAAGCGTTGGTAAAAAAAGGAGTTCCCAGTATACATGGGCAAGGAGTAAATCGGTTTCAAAGAAACCTCAAATAACTCCCCTAATATTTATCCAATGGATATACATTTAAAAATGGAGTTAAGTCAAAGCAACCAGAAAATGTAGACATAATAATGTTGTCTAATAAAGGCATATATAAATAGATATAAGGGACTATATCTTTCCGGACGAGTCCAAGTTTTAATTTTTGCCGATTACAGGTAAGTCAGGTTACCAGCCTTACGGACTGATGCGTAGTGGCTGATCATTCCACGACAATGTTAACCTTCCATCTTGTTCTTGGTCTACCCCGTGCTCTACGTCCTTCTTCTCTTTCCATGTATGCTTTGTATGGTATGATGTCACAAGGCATTCTCTCTAAGTGGGCAAACCATTTCACTTGCTGTCTTTGTATGTAATCCAGAATTGGTTCTGTGCCGACTTGTTCTCTTATGATCTCATTCCTGATCTTATCTCTTATGGTCACTCCTACAGCCCTTCTCAGACATCTTATTACATTTTTGTACTTGTCCTAAAATAACACCATTGACTTTAATTACACATTTAGGAATAAATTGTTTCTTTGATACCACCATTACTTCTGTCTTTCCATTATTCAAACTGAGGCCCATTTTTCCACTTTCTAACACCACAATGTCTATCATTTCCTGTAATTCTTTCTGACTTGTTGCTTTCAAGACTGTGTCATTAGCATAACGTAAATTGTTTACATTGTGTCCACCAACCACAATTCTGGGCATATCAATTAAAGCTCTCATTATATATTCACTGCAAATTGAAAACGAATCAGGTGAAAGTACACATCCTTGTCGTACGCCCCTCTTTATGCTTTGAAATGTACCTAAACAGTTGGTAATTCTTATAGCTGCTGTTTGCTGCCAATATATATTCTTAATAATTCGTAGATCTTTCCCATCAATGTTTAATTTTTCAAACAGTTTGATTACTTCTTCATGCTTCACACAGTCAAATGCTTTTGTACAGTCTATGAAGCATAGGTACAAATCAGTCTTTAATTCTACAGCTCTTTCTGACAATCTCCTTAGGATTATATGGCATTGTTTGTACCTTTTCCTTCTACAAATCTACATTGTTCATCGCTGATTTCTGGTTTAATTTTGTTTCTTATTCTTCTCATAATTATTCTCAGTAAAATCTTAGTCATGTGACTCATAAGACTTATTGTGCAATGGTCTTCGCATTTTAAAGTGCCTGGTTTCTTTGGCAGGGCTATAAATATGGATTTTAAACGGTCATTTGGAATATACCCACTGTTATAAATATCAGTTAGAAGTTTAGTTAATACAAATATTACAGTCTATATTTAATTCATTATACTTGCATGAAAGCAAATAAAGGAGAACTTACCAAAATATCGTTCATGCAGTCACTCATTGTATTGTCCATCATTGTGTTGTCCTTCTTGCACTGATCATAAAGCAAGGCAGTAGAAATACCTCTACTGCACATTTGCTTAGCTTGGTCTTCAGTTATACCTTTACTATTTGGCCATTGTTTTTCTTTAGGGACATCTTTAACAGCCTGATCATTTGATCTTCGATGTCTTTTCTTCTTGGAATTATCTTCAGAAAGATCATTATCACTGGACCCTTGTTTGTCAGAGTTCACAACTTGAAATCAGGACAAATGTGAAAACTGATCAGTCAAAGTAAATCATGCTTGTAACCCTTACACTAAATGTTATATCATGAGCTGTACACTTTAGTAACAACTGCTTCACTAAGAGAGATACTTTTGGTATGTGACTAATGATACATCATGAGTTATATATACTTGAAACAAATGGACACAAAGTTGGACAACGCTGGTAATAATACTGCATCATTAGTTGTATATCCTAGTTATTTACAAATTGTATATAAAAAGTTGCAGACCTTTGTAACAAATGTTGCATCACTGATTCCTCATCATCTAAGTGGTAAGAGCCATCAGGCTTCTCATCAAGCTGTCACAGCTTGTATCACAGTACTGATGTTACCAGTCGCCTTACGCTGAGGGAGATACTAAAGATGGGATCCCTTTTCTTCTTCTTTTCATCCTAGTGAGGTAATTGCACTGTTCCTGTTTACAGCAAAGGTGTGATATTTGCACCTTTCGGCCTACATTTGATCACATCTTGAGCCATAAAGGACGACCGCAACACTTATGGGCATATTCATATACAGTAAAGTGTTTCTTTACAAATGCCTAAACCATTCTGGTTTTTTAATTATTATTTGAAATAACCAAGCATACACCCTAGAAAACAATGTATTCTTATGTAAACTATTTGTCCTGTCAAAGATATCACCAATAAATTTTAAATATATAGCAATGAACAGGGGGAAGACAAAAGTAGAGTGCTTTTGCAACAACTTAGACACCCACCGAAGATAACATAGCGAATGTAACATAAGTGGCTAGTACAGCTGTGTTCAATTCATTGATCATGCCACAAAGATAAAGATGTAAGAAATGTTATGGTAAAGACCAAAAGGACATTGGACAAGCAAAGAAAAATGATTTTTTTTTCGTTCGTCCCAGTAAAGTTTACAGAGCAGAACATATTGAGAAAGGGGAAGACAGGTATACTCCGTGAAGACAGTCAAGCATCGCTTCAGAGGTCCCGGTAGTTAGCGTTCTTTGGATATTTCCCCCAGGATATGCTAGTGTATTAGGAAATGAACAGGCAGATAGTGAGGTTGGCTCTGCACAACCTGGTGGTGAACTGATGCATGATAAGCTAGATGTTGTAAGGGTCCTTTGGGAGCGAGTGAACACAGTTCGGAAACACATCATGGTCATTAAAAAAACGGAAATGCGAGGAGTGACAACGGGAATCTGGTAGACGATCAGCACTCAAAGGAAAGGTGAGACGGGTGTGCAGTCAGATTGCTATTGGTACCACTGGAACTGGAACTCTGTCCTTGCTGCTGAAGATGGGGATGGAGCACTTTGGGGAATGTCAGGAGTGCTGTTATGTCAGTTCATATTATTAAACATACTTTAGTTTTACACAAAAATGATGCCGTTATAAAATCACGGGGGGTGAAGGAGGATTGTGCAGAAGAGGGAGTTGGAGTGTTTTGTAGTATGTCAATATTTTTTCTCTTTTCTTCTGCTATATTTTCTTTTGCAAAAATTAATGTTTTTATATTGCTATTTTTCAACTGGATGATGCCATTCAATGTATTGATGTGTTGTTTTGTAGCTACTGTGAATTGTGATTGATAATTTTACGTACAACTACTTCATATAATATTGGCAGGATGATTAGCTATTTACATATTTACTCACCGGGGGAGCCTCTAAGTTATAGGAAGATTGTTGAGGGGCAGAAGAAGTGCATGGGGGATCATAGCATAAGCGAATGGACGTCGCTTACTGCAATAAAGCCTGGCATATGATATCACAACGTCTAGTTTGGGAATGGAGGTGGAGGCAGTCACTGCCGCATTCCGCTAGCTTGACATCGATTGTACACGCATGGCTCACAGAGTATGTTTAGAAAGGTGGTGACATGATTGCTCCGTGCAGAGTGGCACTTTAGAGGTCTTGGATAGTTAGCATCCTTTGGATATTCTCTCTAAGTCATGCCGGTAGGAAATGAGCAGGCAGATAGACTGGCCGATTCTGCACCACTTGGTGGTAAACTGATGTATGACAAGCTAAATGTTGTGAGGGCCCTCCATGAGCGAGGAAACAGTGCAGAAGCGCAAATAGATCATTACGATCTGAGGAGAATGGCGCTGCGAGGAGTTGAAAGGGGATCTGCCCGATGCTCACCACTCAAGGGAAACGTGAGACGGATATATAATCAGACAGTTACTGGTGCCATCGGAATTGAAAATCTTCGTTTGCTGCTGAAGCTGGGGACGGAGTGCTTATGGGAGTATCCCAAGTGCTATGATGTTGATTCTTAATTCAACATTCAACTCTGTTGTAGTGGCTAGACAAATGCAAATTAGAAGATTGGGGGTTTGGGTCCTGGCGAAGCCAGACTTGTTCCAAAATGACCTTGGCAGCCAGGTCGACCCAGCCTTGAATAGTTACCAGGTGAAGTTTTGGGAAGTGAAGAGGGCTGGTGTGATGCTGACACCACCACCCACCAAGTACCTATCGATCTATAATATATGGGTCTGCCCAGTATATCTTACTGAATATTTTATGTATTATATTCATGCATTCAATACAGTCTCGAGACTGAATTACTGTTCTGTAGAGTATTAGGCATATTTTTATGATTGTCAACATCTCAGATTTCTATATAAGGGAAAAAAACACAGTGCAAGGAAGGCTAGTAACTACATTATCTGACAATATCCTGATCTATGATATCTATTTTCTTACTTCACACATCAATGGCTGTTTTTAAAATGCAATGACTACACATACAGTTACTTGTTTATTGGATTAATTGACCCTTCCTGTCCTGGCCTGTAATTACTTTAACTTCATGCGTCTAAAAACATTTACCGTTAAGTAATTTATTTGTTTGGAAATGTGTCTGTTAAAATATTTAAACAATCAAGCAGAAGGAAATAAAATAGCTATTGTGATTTAGATGCAATAAAACAACTCAGATGACAACTTAACTATCCCAGATTGAGTGAGAAATGATACTTTAAGACAGACAATACTTAACATTAAAATCGTTCAGAAACAGAAGATAAAATAGTTCAATCATTTTCTTAGAAGCCAGCCACAACTACCAGCACAGGGACTTCACCTGAAATATCTGATATGTAAGCAAGAGGGTATTCTAGGAGAAAATGGACTGATAACATTAAAGATATTCTGCATCACACCAAAAGACCATAGCCAATATCACCTAACAAAAAATAAATGCAGTTGATGATAATGGTGATGTAGTACTGGAGTGACCAACAGTTGGGTGGAGAGTTGCTTGGTTCTGTATAAGTAAATAACCTATGAGCACACAAACTTCCTTATGGAAGTATAGGGCTTGCTCTTCTCTACAGATGCAGAACACCTGAAGAATGAAATGTAAAGAAACTGCAGGCAATGAGGATGTGGTTTTTCAAAGTTGAGAATATTGTAGACAGGGGAGAAAACAAAGACCAGAAACTTCAGTGCTGCTTGTGTAGTAACATCACTCATTAACATAACAAGGAACAGACGAATGAAATCTATGCTCTTCTGAGCGGAAACAGTCAAAAACAATTCTGCGGAGAAATAAAAAAAAAAATAAAAAAAACAGTAAAAAGCTCAAACGGACAACAAATAATGTGCATAAGCAACACCAATCCTATTAAAATATCACATGACAGAGAAGTTCGGAGAGTCATGATCAATGATGCCAGATATAGACAAAGAAATTAAACAATGTGAATGGCCACTTCTATTATTATCGTTTGTAACAGCACTGGTATAAATTAAAAATAAAATATATGAACTTACCAACAGGCGGAATTTTAGGCCAGGGATTTGGTGTCAGCCTATCTGTTACCACTTGACAGCCATTGCACTGAAAATAGACAAGTATGGAATACTTAAAAACTGAAGCGGTACGATTTAGTCAAATTTGTGAAAAGTTTGTCAGTTTGTTGAATTATTTTAATCTCTCAAGTTCTTGTAATAAACAGTTTTACTGTGTGAAATATTTCGTTTGACACAGTTGCATATACATACACCCACCTATAAACTCAGCATAAATGGCATCTTCATTTTTGGGGACCCCAGTTATTTTCACTACTGTATTGACTAAGACATTAGGCATGAGATCTGGTGCCTCTATTTTCAGTAATAAAGTAGCACACATGTGCTCTTCTACTGGCTACACAAACACAATTCCTTTTCTGCTGAGATACATTAAGCCAGTCAGCCAGTGTACTAATTATTAGGGTATGACACGTCCCGCAGTTTCATTTACCCCTAAACATTTCATTTATGAGGATGGCTGTATGGTCAAGCTTTCTGCCGCATGTTCTGAGGGTCGCGGGTTCATTTCATGGATGCATCATCGGGTTTAAGAATGCAATTTTTACCTGGGGATTGTCATCAGAGCTATGATGTGCAACACTTCCAGCAGATGGCTAGCTGTTTTGCAGAGAAGCCGAGCCATATTGTATAAAACTCGGTACGTGAAGTTGATCTTTGAAATTTTAACCTTTGACTTTTACCTTTAACATTTTATTGGTAAAAACTTTTGTTGCTAATCATTACCAAACAGACTAGTAACAGAATTGGCTTAGAATTTACTCTAGTCTTAATTAGATAAGCTTATATTTTAGTGTTGCTCTACATGCTTTGACTCCCAATAAGTGAAAACATTGAAAATGAGCTATAGAGATAATTATTTCCTTTCCTTATTTTCCAGTTTCCACGGCCTATAATTCTCTTTGTTACTAAAACAGTTTTTAAAAATTTTTTTTCAAATTTTTAATAATTGCTCTCAGTAATAAGTAATGTAGCTAAAATCTTATTTTTCGGCTAAAATTTTTTTGTCAAATCAAATTATTTTTAATGTTTTCAAAATGTTGCTGTGAAACAAGAAGACAGTTGTGATATTTTCCTCTTCACTTGACATATATTCAATACTAAAATTGGTGTAACACGTAAAACAGTAAAACCAATCACTGCAAAATAACAAATGTGGTCTATTTTTTGCTGGCCTGTCATCTGATATGCAACTCATCAGATCACTATCATGTCAACTGTTTTTAGGGAGCAGATCCTGGACAATAACAAAAAGTATTTCTTCTACCTAATATTTGTTCCTCTGTAAATACAATACTTTGTTGCCAGTTGAATGCTGAATGCTGAATTAGGAATCGACATCACAGCACTCGGGACACCCCCATAAGCGCCCCGTCTCCATCTTCAGCAGCAAGAGAAGTGTTAAAATTCTGATGGTACCAGTAACTGTCTGATTGTATCTCCGTCTCACCTTTTCCCTGAGCGTCTAGCGTCAGCCAAACCTCTTGTAACTCCTCGCAGTGCCATTCTCCTCATACCGTAAGGAACTATCTTTTCCTCGGCACTGTTCTCTCGCTCCCAAAGGGCCCTCACAACATCCAGCTTGTCATAAATCAGTTCAACACCAAGTGGTGCAGAACCGGCCAGTCGATCTGCCTGCTCATTTCCCAACACACCGGCATTACGTGGAGAAAATATCCAAAGGAGGCTAACTACCAGGGACCTCTGAAGTGATGCTTGCCACTCTCCAGAGAGCATGCGTATCTCCGCCTTTCTCAGCGTGCTCTGTGAGTCAGTTACAAATACGACACTTGTGTACAGCTGATTCTCAAGCCAGCGGAAGGCAGCAGTGACTGCTTCCACCTCCATTCTCAAACTAGACGTTGTGTTATCATATGCCAGGTTTTGTTGCACCAAGCTGCGTCCATTCGCCTTTGCTATGAGCTCCCATGCACTTCGTTTGCCCCTCAACACAGAGCTATCTGTATAAACAATCACATCACTTGGGCGGGAATTGTCATGAATCATTTGTTGAATTTCTGATTCTGCAGCACCAGCTGGCCAATCCCTGCATTCAAGTCCAACGTGATTAGAACCCAGCACAAATCTAAAACCTGATTGGACAATTTGACCCACTCCTCTCCTCGCCTAAATTTATTAAGTCTGCACACATGTCAAATTGTGTCTTCAGCTAGCGCCATCCAAGACTTTCCTTTTTTTTCAGTCTGTGACCCTTAGCACTATCCAGAGCTTTATGCAGGAGGTGCCTCTTGTCCGCAGCTACTCTGAAATATGACTTTGCTTGCAGAACTTTGAGCCTATCTGCAATACTAGGAAGTGCAAGCTTACATACTACAGGGGTATCTCTTGTACATCCCAGAAGTACCCGCATGGCTTCTTTCTGTATGCGTTCAAATTTCATCAGCTGACTATTTGATAGGGTAAGCATGCCAAATGGATAATCTATCACCAAAAGGATCACATGCTGGAACATTGTGAACAACATTCTTTGTTTCATGTACGTTGCTGCGATAATCTTGAGAGTCCTTTTTGGCTTTTCACTGCAGCTGTATCCACATGATTCCTGAGGGACAGGCTTCTTTCTGAAATGATACCCATGTACCTCAGTTTGTTTCTCTTTTGATGTAACTGTTATTAACTATGAGGTTTGGAATGTTAGCTTTCACAATTCTAATGTCCGGAGAGCAGCACAAAACAGCTGCATTTTCTGCGGTTGATGACAGCACACATTTATGCACACTAGTCAGTCACTTTGTCTACTGTTGCCTGTAGCTCGCGAGCTATCTGTCGCCTATCTCTCCCCTTGTCTATATGCAAGGACATCATAGGCAAATGTCAATATTCTTCCAACACCTAGTGATTCCTCAAGATCAAGTGCTGCTACAACCATCTCCTGTCTGTTATGAAAATACCTCATCAACATCAAGCAAACGTAGCTGCATTGGACCAGGTATCTTTCCATGGCCGGTAACTACGGAAACCTTTTGGCAGGAGCTCTTCTGTTTCCATTTGTAGTTTAACAGCAATAATCTTCTCTAGCACCTTGCCAAAATTATTTTGTAGGGGAATAATCCTGAAACCGTTGAGTTTGAATGATCTTTGCCTGGTTTTGGAAGTGGAATTAGGCAGCTGTGTACCCATTCCTGGGGTACTAAAGTTGTTCTGATGCTTTGGTTGAAGTGAAAAGCCATCTCCCTCCAGTCTTCATCACTCATGCTCTTCATGTGGGCATACTTGACTCTATCTGGCCCCAGCGCAGTGTTTGTTGCTTTTTTGCATATACATGTTTTAAATCCTCCACCCTAATAATATCCTCAAAATAATTATCTTTTATTGTATTTTAAAGATTATCTCTAACTGAGTTTCTAAGCTCCCTATCATTATGATCAGTTTGGGCTATAAATCTCTTCAAAAATGCCTTCCCTTTCTCTTAGTCTGTTTTCATTGGTATATCATTATCAGTGTATATAATGCCTGTTGTAGTAGGCTGATCCTTCTTTTGCATCTGTGTGTTAAGTCTCCAAAACCTACCCAGTGATCTATCCCCTCCCAATTTCGCTTATAAAATGTTCCCATTTAGCCTTCTTTGCATCTGCTGCACAACGCTTAAAATCTTCTACTGTTTCTTTTCTAACTCTTTCCAGCCTTTCTACATCCTCTTGTAACCTGTGAGGTGCCTTTCGCATTTCTGTAATTTCCTAATTGCTGCTCGCTTTGCTCTCCATGCCTGTTCTACTTCTTAGGTCCACCATGGAGGCTGCACAAAAGTAGAGATGGTGGTTCTGCTGCATACCTTCTGCCAAAGGCGTCCAAGAAGGGTACTGTTCGTGTCACTCTTAAAAGTCTTACGCATTCTCACAGCTTTAAATTTGCTAGCTCTAGAAATCAAGCCTGGGCATGGCATATGGTCACTCCCATGATCGCTTAGGACACAATTTTGTGGACTGGGTAACTAAGACAAATCAATGGCCGTGTCTGCATTGCCATTCTAGTTGGCCTACCGTCTACGTTTACGTCCACCATAGCATCCGCTAAAGCATTTCCTTGCCTATTTTCCCATTACTGTCCCATGCTCTGTTCCGCGCATTGAAATCCCTACAGCTGAGAAGCCTATTACTAGGGATTTCCTCCACCTTTTTGAGCCAGTCCCAATGTTCCTTTGTGACAAGAGATTCAACAGCAGCGTAAACATTCACTAAATTCCAAGTTGTTCCACCATTATCTATCTGTGTACCCTGAACCTCAGTGTACTATGATCCCACCGGCCCAGGTCAAGAACCCCATGCTGCAACCCATTTTTAACCAGCAGAAACTGCCCATGTCTTCCCTGTCCAGTAGGATTTATGTAACTAATGTATCCAGAACAATCATATCTGGCTATGTTTAATTCCTGCAGCATGATGATATATATGATGATATGTTGCCAGTTAACACCAGTATATCTTGCTTCAGAATATTCTTAGTCACAATTTCCATTTGGTATCTGGAGTTAAAAATTCTCAACTGTACCTAGATATAAACTATTATTAATCAGGTATCACATCAAAAACAATCTGGCACGCTGCGCGACACCGAGCAGAGTAAGCATTCTTGAAATCACAGTGCAAAATATCTTTTCATCATACACCAAGATTTATACTAATTAAAGTTTATCTTTTTTTTTTTTTTATCAATGTCAAAATTGAACATTCTTTAATTCCTTAATTTGTTTTGGTAATATTCTCTATCAGAACTGGTTTTGGTTGCATTTTTTCCATTTTTAATTGTTACTGCATCTGTCACACTATTCAAGTGTTACATTTCTTCCCTCATATAAACAAGTTTAGCACAGAAGAGGAATCCTGTCTATCATTATGTGTATACAAGATCCACATATTCCATTAAAGTAATTTTGTGATATATTTTCTAATTTACAAAGAATTTTATCAGGGCACATTTTCCAATTTACAAAAGATTTTATCAGGGTAAGTTTGTCAAATATACAAAATAAGTTTGCCAGTGCATTAAATACTCGGGTGTGTGCTTTAAAACGTTCAAGTACGGATAGAAATCACGAAGAAACTTGGTGTCTTACCACAGCCACAGTTTCTTTGCTATGCTGGCTAGAGGAGCAGCAGCTGTGGTGGTCGGGTTGAATCACAAGAGCAGTATTTTTCATTAACGTCGACCTTGGTCCTCGAAGGAACTGTCACAAACAGGCTTCGGTCCTTCGAGACTCTGGTAAACGTTAAGATATGCAAATTCAGTTTTCGACATGAAATGTAAATTTTTTTTTTTTAACACAGAGAAGCCAAAACAATTATAATTTATGACGCTTATTTAAATGAGATTACATGAGGTTTCTGATTTGTTAAAATATGTGGTTTTTAATTTTGTATCCTAAATATAAACTTTAAAGTGGACATCCTTAGGCAAATATATTACCTACTGCAATAAACATATGACAACAGAAAAAAACTGTCAAAGATTGATAACTCATAACTCTAGAGAACTGCGAGAAATTATAAAACAGTAAAATAACAAGAACAAAGAGTTTCAATTAATGTTTAGAATATTTTGTTTGCAAAGTAATTCATAATAATCCTTTAAATATATTCCTAAATGACACACAACGTCATTATTTGACAAGTTACCATTAATTGTTTATTATATTTAACACTTTACAATTTTGTCACTGGTAAAATAGCCAAAAGTATTTGTCGGCAACCTATAAATAGCGCCCAGTGTCTGACAAGATCACATCTTTACTTGTTTTGAGGACTTCAGGTTACATCAGGCTGTTTTGAGCTGTTACGGGTGCCCTAAGGATAACTTCTTTGGAGTTTAAACGGGGGTATCCTGGGATCTTGCCTTGATGGTCTTCCATCTAGAACTGTTAGAATCCCAGTATGATAGTGATAAACCTACAGGTGGCAGCCCAGAGGGACAAACTGAGTCCATTGATTGTGAAAAGTCCTTACATTATAATATACATCCCAATTATAACCCAGAATCGTTGAACGAGGAAACATCTGATTAAATCACTTCGACTATTCGGGGTTAAATAAAACTGTATCTATATATGATTAGGAGCAGAGTCAAGTAGAGCACTGGATATACAGTTGAGTATACAGAGAACGGTTTTTACCAGAGCATTCGGCATGGCATGAGAGATAAGGTCATATATAGTTGTTTGTTAATGGGTAAGGTATTTCTCTACTGAAGAATGGGGAGCTGGTGAAAAAGCGTGATCATTCTGGCAACAGCACTTGATTATTGCACTATGATGATGACAATGGATAGATGCTTATGATGACAATGATGATTATGATGCGATGATGATGTTAACTCGTTAATGAGTGATGATGACTGATGATGACGACAAGAATAATGACAGGTTAGAATGATAAATATGATAATTAATGAGTTATAGTTGTTTAGGATAAAAGATGGAGAAAAGGGTTTGTTATCAATTAAAAACCTAAGAGTTTTTTCAACAACAACACTGTTTGGGTGCCCTTTTACAGAATAGTGAAGATTTGGACGAACTGTCAATAATAACTGCAGTGTCGTGACGTCATTTAGTTTGGTAAAGACATTTACTACACACCCGAGAACAAATAAGGAAAACCCCCAGGATTTGAAATGGGGTAGGTCTCACCAACCAGGGTTTTGGGGACACGGGGGTGACCTCACCATCCGAGA